CAACATGGCTGGCCTATATCCACTGGATGTCTGCAGCAGTCCCCAGTTATGACAACCAAGAATGTTTCCAAACATTGCTAAACGTCCCGAGGAGCAAGCCACTCCCATCTGAGAACCACCATTCGTGCCTCTGTGTGCACATGCGTGTGCACAAGAAGCCAGGTCACACTGTAGTCACTTTTACAATCTTTCCTGGCTACTGGTACCCCATGGTCACCAGGATCCTTCCATGTTCTTGTCTAGACCCGTCTGTAGTGGCTGCCAGTGTTGCCTACCAAGTGACTCACGAGCTGTGCGCCTGTAATCCTCACTATTCAGGAGGATCACGATTTGAAGCCAGCCCAGGGAAACAGTTCCTGAGACCCTATCTTGACAAAAACCATCACAAAAAAGGGTTGTGGAATGTGGAAGGTTCCAGCTGGACCAAAAGGGGAGTAGGAGAGATTGGCTATTGGCAGCACAGGTGGGCTGGGGCAGTCAATGGGTCATTCATGAGCCACGCTAAACCACCTATGCAGAGGTATTCAGAGGCTTGGAATTGGACGGATGGGGGAAGGGTGTTAGGTTACAGGAGGGGCCTGGAGGGTGGCCTTGGATGTCTGGCCCCTACTAAGGTGTAAAGCATGGGGTCACAGGCCAGAGGAGCTGGGCTCTGGTGCTGAATGGGACACGTGGTTGGGGACAGAATTTCTGTCTAGCCCCTAGCCTGTGAGGCTCACAAGGAGGCTCATATTAACCCCCAGCCATGGGAGAACCAGGATGGAAAAGCCAAGGTGAGGGAGAGACAGCTGCAACAGGACAGGGGCAGACTCATTCTTATCCCCTACAAGACACACCCCAGAGCTGCCCCGGAAGTGCCTGGAGGGGACATGAGGAGGGCAGTCCCCTCACACGGAATGGACTCAGATAACTGCCACCCACGTGGCACATTCTGGGCACCTCATCTGTGCTCTCAGGATGCTGAGGATAGGGGACACCAGGATTATTGTCACCATTTCACCAATGTCAGCTAAGGGGGACTCCAGGACCCTGCCATCCCATAATGTTACCCTGTTGAAGGCAGAACGCTCATGTATCATGAAATAAACCACTTCCTGTGGAGTCCCCGGAGGCCATCTGGCTACAACAAAAGCCTAGAGCCTGAGACAGGGCCAGGAGGGTATTTGGGCTCTCTGATGAGTTTAGAGTGACATTCGATGCCCTGTGCTTCTGGTTCAGTAGCCTTGCAAGGCAGGGTCAGAGGTCGCAGGCACTGAGATGCACGTGGAAGCCCGGCAGCAGGTGGCCCGTGGCCCAGCAGTTGAGCTATATATAGTTTCACCTAAGTGCTCAGAGGTGTCTACATCTCAGCTCTGCAAAATGCTCTGCGGTTGCATGTGCACACTGCCTGGTAGGCACAAATGTCATTCCGGTACACATGAGCTCCTGCTGCTTAGGATGCAGAGGAACAAAGGGGCTCGCTCAGGGCAAAGCCCCCTGTAACCTGTGCTGAGAGAGGCTCTGAAACTCTGCTTTCCCACCTGCCCGACCTTGCAGCTGGGATGGTCAGACCCTGAAGAGGGCACAGTGTTCAGATTCCTAAAGCCCAACTTCTCATTTAACTTGGCTTTTTTCCTGAAAGTCACTGAACGCACTGGGGCCACACGAGAAAAAAGCAGGGAGGGTCCTGGTCAGTGCTGGCACTCCAGATGCAAAGGAACATACCTCCTCCATTCTTTACCTTGTTTTGGCAAAACCATTCTGGTTGCCAAATCACCTTATGACTGCATGAGCGAAAGTCTGCACTATACCAACACTTCTCAGTAGAAAGCATGGAACCACTGCTCAGCCCAGGGACAAACCTACGTGTTTTGGCCTTTTCTCAGCCGATTCTTCTGCTATATTTAGACTAAAACTTTTTTTTTTTTTAAGTTGTCTTTAGGGACTTTGCAGACACTTCCCTAGACCAAGCCATTAGGAGATGAAGCAGACAGCTACAGGGAAGGGCAAGGCAGCAGAGCCACTTCTGCTGGCACAGGGAATCTCTGGTCTTCTGATTTGCAGGTGTGTGTTTGTAAGTTGAAGAGGAAATCACTGCAAGTGGGGGATGGGTGTAGATTCTGAGATAAAAGGACAATATTCTACCTGGACCCAGGCAGACAGGCAGAAAGTGAAACAGCAGAGAAACCAAAAGTGAAATGGCTTATTCAAATTTCACAAAACTCCCACCAAGCTGAAGTGCTCTATTCAAAAACACAAAGAAAATGAGGGCAGTTTCACAATCTGGGACATTATAAGGAAACCACCCAGAACCTGAGCACCAACTTTGAGGAATTGACCGAACTCATTCTGGGCCCCTTGAGCTTCCTGGGGAGGGAGGAAATGGGGAGAGAGACCCCCTCTTCCAGTCCTTTGAGCTCTTTGGAGAAAGTCTAGTGGACATCCACAACAGGGCCTGGGTTTCATTTATAAATAACTCAGAACATTTTGTTTTCAATTTTCTGGGGCTGGGTTTTCCCAGTACACAGGGCTCTGGGGAGATGTGAAAACCATGGCGGGTCAGTGAGTATTGCTGGGGACAGAGCTCGAATAGCTATTCAGACCACTGAACAACCACCTCATTTAGGATCCTCTGCCTCAGGCCCTTTCCTGGACCAGCCCAAAATCTACATCTCCGGGGTGGACCCCTCATTACTGCCACGTAGGAGGCAGATCATTTGGCTTCTAAGGCTGACTGAGGAAGTCTGGACTGGGCCCGCCCGAGGCGCCTGCTCACCAATTGGCACCAGCCTCTGATGACAGCCTCTGCCCAGGAGCATCAATACCCTCTTTTGACAGTACCCCACACACACACAAAAAAAAAAGTTTTATGGCTTCTGTATTTAAGTGTGATGGCCAAAAGGAATGCTAATGAGCCAGGCTCAGGTGGCTCACGCCTATAATCCTAGCTACTCAGGAGGCAGAGATCGGGAGGATCTCCTTTCAAAGCCAGCCCAGGCAAGTAGTTCTGGAGACCCTATCTCGAAAAAAACCCATTACAAAAAAAGGACTGGTGGAGTGGCTCAAGGTATAGGCCCTGAGTTCAAACCACAGTACCATACACACACAAAAAAAATGCTAATGAAATCTCTGATGAAAACAGTAAGTTAGGAACCTGTCTCTAGTGTTTAGGGAGTGATAAGGCAACAATTACTTTCTCAGAAGGTACAGAAGCCCACCAGAGGCGGGCCACCAAACCTCTATCTTGCCCCCACAAGACTGGGATCCCCCAATATACATATCACTTGTTTTTAGATTTGATTTCCTGACTGTCTTCTTAGCCTGCCAGCCTTTCTTCCCTGACATAGGCACCTGGCCCTCCAAGCTTCCAAGTCTCTTAGAAGCCAGAAAGCCGGACAGGAGGCTTTCAAGTTCCCAGGTTCATGTGTGTGTGTGTGTGTGGTGTCAGGGATTGTGTGTGTGTGTGTGTGTGTGTGTGTTGTGTCAGGGATTGAACCCAGAGCCTCAGACATGCTAGGCAAGCATTCTACCACTTGAGGTACACTCCTAGTCCACTTTTTTCATTTTCTTTTCTTTCTTTCTTTTTTTTTTTTTTTGGTGGAGGTTCTGGGGATTGAACCCAGGACCTCGTGTTCTTTTTCTTTTTGAGACAGGGTTTCACTACATTCTATTTTGCCAAGGCTGCTTTGAAACTCCTAGGCTCCAGTGATCCTCCTGTCCCGGCCTCCAAGTAGCTGGAACTACATATATGTGTGTACCACCAGGACCTGCTCCCCAGGTTCACTTTAGACCTCTCAAACAGCTCCCAGGTCTCCCTCCCACTTAGGTGACCTGACACTGGTTACCTAACAATCACAGACCTCAAAGCTCCGACATCACCCACTGAAGATTCTCAGTAGCCTGCACAGCCAAGGGGGCCTAGGTGTGGCAGGGATGATGGTGGGGATTGAGCCCAGTGGAACGCCAGGAACTGATTAAGTGGGGGTTGGGGTCCAGATCGGTACAAAAGATGGTTAACTGGTGGTGTCCCTGACAGGAAAGCGGAAGTATTTGGGCTTCTTAATTTCCCCTAAATTCCCACAAGATTTTATTGTTGCCCCACATTTCCCCTCTTCCTCACATAGGGAATTTCCGATTTCACTTCTTCAAAACTAGTGGCCAGAGGACTTCAACTTCCTCTTTATCTCCGCCCGCCCCGCCAGTTGCAGTCTCTCTGGGGAGACCTCATCAGGACACATCATTTATGTTTTTCTGCACTGCTGTGTCATTTCCCAATCCCAGCCCCTAATCCCAGACGGAAGGTCAGGCTTCTTTCTTGCTGTGTGACTTTCCCCATCGCACTCCTCCCAATTTTTCTCTCCCAGGTCAGTCCCCGCCCTGGATTCTCTACTTCCTCAGCTTCCTCTACTACCTTTCACCCGTCTCTCTCTCCCCCGAACAGATAAAAGACGAGGGTAGAAGAGGGAGTTGTATGTCAGGGAAGCCGGCATGAAGAGGCGGCGCCCGGGCTCCCAAGGTCCTCCGGTGCTTCTGGGGATTCTGAGCCGGTGGGAGGAGTAGGGCAGCTCGTGGGAAGCACTGTGGTTGGGGCCCGTAGATGGGGCGCTAGGGTATCCAACTGGAGTCCTCCGGCGGGGTGTAGAGGGCCTCAGATAATGTGAGCAGCTTCGACATGTCCCGGCCCCAGCACTTCCCAACCACAGCACTTCCGCGAACCTCCCGTGAGGGGCGGGGCGAAACAGGTGCAGTTGCCACGGCACCCCGGCCATGGGCTCGCGAGATTTGAAATCAGCCAATGGGAGGCGGGGGAGGGGAGGACGTGGCACGCAGTTGGGGGCAGGACCAGGAGGGGCACCTCCCTCCCACTCCAATTCCCCGGCTGGCCCCGCGGCGGCGGCGCGCATCGCCGGGCTTGACCCTATAAAGGGCGCTCGGCGAGGCTCGAGCTCCATTCGGCAGAGGGCGCGTCTGCGAGCCTTGCGCTTGCGCAGTGCGGGCCGTTCCCCGCCCCACCCCCCTGCCCCGCCGCCGCCGCCGCCGCCGCCGTAGCCAGCCGCTCTCCGCCGGCCGGCCGGCCCGCCCCTCCTCTGCCGAGTGTTCTCACCCTCCTTTCAGCCGCTGGTCTGTCCCTCAGTAGCCAGTCCCGTCTCCGGCAGCATGTTCAGCTGGGTCAGCAAGGATGCCCGCCGCAAGAAGGAGCCGGAGCTCTTCCAGACTGTGGCCGAGGGGCTGCGGCAGCTGTACGCGCAGAAGCTGCTGCCCCTGGAGGAGCACTACCGCTTCCACGAGTTCCACTCGCCCGCGCTGGAGGACGCTGACTTCGACAACAAGCCTATGGTGCTCCTAGTGGGTCAGTACAGCACGGGTAAGACCACCTTTATCCGGCACCTGATCGAGCAGGACTTCCCGGGGATGCGCATCGGGCCCGAGCCCACCACCGATTCCTTCATCGCGGTCATGCACGGCCCCACCGAGGGCGTGGTGCCGGGCAACGCGCTCGTCGTGGATCCGCGGCGCCCCTTCCGCAAGCTCAACGCCTTCGGCAACGCCTTCCTCAACAGGTACCCACCCCTTACCCCGGGGCGCGAGGGGCGGCCGGGGCCAGGACCCCGAACTTTCGGCCCTGGCCTTCCGTGGCCATCGTCCTCGCCATCCTTTGTCTCCCAGGCCCCGGCCAGACTCTGGGCGACCACTCCCAGGAGCAGCGGCCCTGCCGTGTCACACAGAAACCTATCCAAACCCACCTGGGGGGCTGGGAGTGGGCATCGCCCACTGTTCTGGTTTCCGTCACCCCCAGAATCCTTGAGGTCATCAGTTTAACTCTCAAACTCTCCCGCAGACCCCAGCCCCACTTCTCGCAGAGCCAGGGACAGGCTGTAGGAAGATGAGCCTATGCTGTCTTCCCTTTCTTGGTCTCCACCTCCTTTCTGGGACTGGACTCACCTAATTCATTCAAATCAATGTCTCCCCTCCAGGGTCTGTTTCTTAAGTGTCATGGGAAACCCATGAGACTTTTGGCTGTTCTCTTTGGTGGTATGTATGTGTTTTACCTCCCCTGGGACCAATGGTTTTGTGTAGGGGAGGCAAGAAAGATACCCTATGGCCTGCAGATTTGGGGCAACCCCTTGGAGGCAGGGGACAGATGGTGTCTGAACACCTTTCCCAAAGGCAGCTATTAATGGGTCAGTGTTGCCTCCAGGGACTTCGAAGGTGGTGGCTCTGAGAGCCCTGAAATGAGATCTGGACCCTCTTTCCTCTGTAGAGTCCGTAGACGTTTCCCTTAACCTGCTCTGCTCTTGATTTCCTTAGTTAAAGGGGTGAGGTCTGCCTCTTCGTAAGGAGAGTAGTGCTCCAAGATTCTACCTTCGCCATACTGTGAATGAGACAATGCCGTTCCCTCCTCTCTAGGGAGTTGCACAGCCTGGGCTCACTTTTCTCTAAAGGAACTCAAGGCATTCCCCCACCACCCCCAGCCAGACTGCAGAACCTCATGGACCCTGCCCTCTCTGTTCCCTGTCAAGGAGTGACTCCACATGCCTTTCGAACTCAGCAGCCTGCGTCAGGGGACGAGCCTAGGAAAGAATCTGAATCCTGCTTTCCAGGTCTCCACCCTCCATGACCACATTCCTTTCCAGACGCTGTCCAGCTGCACAGGGCGAGCCAGCTTGTCCCAGAGCCCAGCCTGTGGCCAGGCCTGCCTCCTGCCTCCTGCCTCCTGCCTCCTCTCACAAGCTGACCTTTAATGTTGTCTTTTTGTCCCTTCCAGGCATTTCAGCCCTTCTGTTTTATGCTAATGCTGTTTGCTGGCAGGCCCAGGGTTGAATAAAGCCCTTTGGGCCAAGGCTCCTGAAGTTCTGGTTCTCTAACCTGGAGCCTTTCTCTGAAGATGCTTGTCCTATTTAGCCATGGACTCAACCATGGTTGCTGGGAGCTTTGGGGCTTGTAGGAAGTTTGATGGCTCTGCTTCCACAAAAGGACTTCGGAGTTGACAGGAAGGGTCCTTATGTGTTCCTGTGGTTGTGAGGGGAGATCTTTTGGAAAGGAGCATCTGGGCACATGACTAGTTTTCTGCCTTTGGAAACCTAGAGTTTCAGAACTGGGAAGATCTTAGACATCATCTCAGTAGCCCCTACCTGGGTTCAGAGAATCTCAGAGACTCAGAGGACCCAGCAATTTGTCATGGTTAAGGCAGCACCTACTGCCTGTCCTTCCTGCACTCACCCCTGACACTACCTGACAAAGGAGCAACTCGGGAGCACTTGGTCAGACAGTCCCTTTGATGATATGGGTCCCTCTAGATCTGAGAACCACACTTTTATTTCCTTCTTGCCACTGCCCCATCTCTAGAGGGTCCCTGAATGCTTGCACCATGCTCGGGGGGCCTTATCAGCAGGGCTGAGGCCCCAGCTGGGTCAGGATTTATGGAACACAGGTGCTGCCTGCCAGGGAGAGTACAACAAAGGGGGCTTTTCTCTGGCTGATACAGCCCCTTCCCACACTCTTCAAGGGACCCATTGAGTCACGAACTTGACTTTCCAGCCTCTTTCTCCTGAGTGACTGTTCTGAGATGCAATTAGATGGAGCAGACTGAGGCGGGGTGTAATCAGGGAGTCTTGAGAGTGGTTCCTGAAGACTCATTGCCTAACTGGGGCTGTCCACTTGTGAGATGAAATCTATATCCTTGTTGGGATCTGAGGCATCTTCACTGCTGCCTGCCTTTCTTGCTTCTCAGTTTACCCTGGACTCAGCAGATGCTCCATCAGCTCCTTCACAGGGTGTTTTTAATTTTTTTAATTTTAATTTTTTGGTAGGATGAGATTTGAACTCGGGCTTTGTGCTTGCAAAGCAGATGTTCTACCATTTGAGCCACACCTCCAGTCCTTCACTGGGTATTTTTATGGTGCTTCTCAGGGCCACTTCTGTTTCCTTCCTTTACTTCTGTCACCCTCTCTGCAGCGAGCCCCAGGTCTCTCACCCAGTGACTTGGAACATTTGTGCTCTAGGCTGACCTAGTGAGGATGAGGTTCAGGCTTTGCTCTCTCTGAGGGTCAGCTGGGTTTTGCTTTGTTGCACTTGGAGACAGGGCACCTCTCACCCTGGCCACCTGCCCCCAGCCTGTGGGCCACAGAAAAAGCTGAGAAGCCCTAGTTCTCCCCACTGCTAGAAGAACAGCTTTGAGCTGTGTCCTACAGACAGTGGGTTTGCATTTTCTTTGCTCAGAGAGGTTTTTAAAGGAGCCTTTTCCGTGTCCAGTAAAGAATCCTGCTATTGGCGGAGACAGCCTTGCTCTTTTGGGCTCTTCTGGGCTCTGAGCTCTGCATGGAATTCAGGCACGTAGCTAAATCTTTCCCTAGGGGTCTCCCATCTCCCCTGTGCCTTGAGTCTTCCTAGGCCAGCTTTGACTTCCTAGGAAGGGTTTGTCTTGTCTGTACTTCCGTCCCCACTACTAGCTAGCCTGTGCAGTCCCTTAGCTTCTACTGGTGGCCTCTTGCAGTCCCTTCACCAGGGTAAAAGGGGAGGGCTGGTCCCAGCAGCAATAGAAAGTGACCATCTCTCTGTGGTGTGTGGGAATTCAGCCAAATGATAGAAAACCTTAATATGAAATTGCAATGTCCCAGTGTCATGCTTCTGTCTCCCTCTGGAACCGAATGGTGATCTAGGCTCACACAGCTTTCACCAACAGGTCAGCAACTGGGAAGTTGAACTCTTGAACTCTGGGGGGGAAGGGCTGGGGCAGTGGGGCCTCTGTTTGCATTTCTGGTTAAGAAAGTACATCCTGGGGGCTGGTGAAGTGGCTCAAGTGGTAGAGCAGGCGTGAGCCCTGAGTTAAAGCCTCAGGGCCGCAAAAAAAAAAAGCAAGAATGTCCAGGAACTGAGGGCGGTTCAGTGATAGAACATTTGCCTAGCATGTATGAGGCCCTGGGTTCCAGCACTGCAAAGAAAGAGAAAAAGGGGAAAGGGAAGAAAGAAGGAGGGAAGGAGGAAAAGAAAAGAAAGTTCAATTTGCCAGTCACCCTCAAAGTAAGCTACTAGGAAGGCTCTAGCAAGTTCCATGCTTCTCAGAAGGAAGCTGGGGTGGAGACAGGAGCAACAGCCCCTCCTGATGGCTCCACTTGGCTTTGTTCTCCTGTAGGTTCATGTGCGCCCAGCTGCCCAACCCGGTCCTGGACAGCATCAGCATCATTGACACTCCCGGGATCCTGTCCGGAGAGAAGCAGCGCATCAGCCGAGGTAAACAGGCGCCCAGGCCATCGTACTCCATTGGATGTGGGTGGCCAGGCCCCATGCTGCCTACAGGCTCCATCCAGCATGAGGCTTTCTAAATCATGTGTCCTGGTGAGAAGCATCTTAATGTAAGCCTCCCACTTCCATAGTGCTGGCTGGAGCTGCTTTCTTCTCTCCTCCCTGTGCTCAGGTGACAAGGGCAGCTGAGGCAGGGCACAGTCCATTCTGTGTGGCCACTGTTTTTGAACCTGAGGACCATGCTGGAAACAGCAGATGTGGCCTTGGGCCATGCAGTGAGGTGGCAGGGAATTGCTGCTGGTGTCCACCACTGCTGACTTGAAGAGCCCCTGGCCACTTGTGGCTACTTAGCCTGGTTTACATTTAAAAGTGTTCCCTCTGAGAGCCAGTAAGTTCCTAGCAGAGAATAAGAACCAGCTAGGCAAACAGAGAAACCAGCAGGGTTGTGAACTACTTTCAGCTAATGCAAATGTGCTATGTTAACTCAGCTTTTGCTGGTCCCCAGCCTCCCTGGAGGCCTTGCAATGGGGCAGGAGGTTCCCTGCTGGGCATTTGTGCCTGGGCCCCTTGCCCTTGTGCCAGGTACCATCTAGGTTTTGCCATGCTGTTTTTTTCTTTTTAGACTTTTTTAAATTTTGTTGTAGGACATGGAACTTTATTTCCTTAAACATAGGCATAATACCTCTTGGTATTGCCTTTGGGTGGTTAAATCCCTGCACTGATCCTAAAGACTGGGGGACCTCAAACCTGCTTGCCTGGAGGATGTTGTTCAGGATGAGCCTGGCTTGGGTCTTGTTTCTGACCCTGCTCCTTTTGTGTAGCAGAGTGGGTGCCTACTGCAGGGCAGTAAGGGCCTTCTAAGGGGAGCACAAGGGCCTCAGTAAGTGGAATCTGCAGCTGCAAAGTGGAAAATGAAGAAGCCTGAGACTCAAGGAGGGTGTGAGGCCCAGTGGCTGGGTTTGTCATTAACTAGCACATCTTTCCTGTGGCCCTTGCCCTCTGGGCTGTCCCGGGTGAGAGCCTTGCAATTGAAGCCAGCAGCCTGGGATTTGGGGTGTGTGGGGATGTCCGCTGTGGCTTTGAGGGGTGGGGGCCCTGGCCAACATAGTGTTGCAACAGTGCAGTGAAGCAGGCTGTCTCTAAATGCATCAAGATGCCACTTAAGCTTTGGGCTCCCTGCCCCAGGGAGAGGCTGATGCTCCTAGGAGTTGTAGAGGACAGATTTGGGGACCGCTTTTGAAAAGCCAGGGCCAGATTTCTTCTTTCTTACTGCAGTTATTATTCCAACCTGGTTTTAAGAAAATGCCTGATAAGCCAAAGCCCTATTGCTTTCCAGAGCAAAGGCCAGAAACTCTGAATAAGTTACTCTTAAAGAGAAAGACCTGCCTGGGGTTTTATCTCAAGTGAGATAAGGCACCCTCCTAGCAATACTGTACTGGCAGAATGGCACTTGTGGTAGAGTGCCTATCTAGCAAATGTGAGGCCCTGAGTTCAAATTCCAGTCCTGCAAAAAAAAAAAAAAAAAAGAAAAGAGAAAGAGCCATAAAGGGAGTTCATTCTCCACCTGCCTCATTGTTGCAGCATCTTGGTCTTTGTCTGGGGCCTATAACGTTATCTTTTGGCTGGCCTGAGGCTCCAGCTGGTTTCTAGGTATACACAGCTCTGATAGCTCACTGGAATGCCATTGCTAGTGTAAGTCCTCATTGCCTGAGGTAAGATATAGGAGGGGAAGAATTTGGGGTTCTTGTGGCCCTTGTCTTCTGAAAAAGATGCTTTAGCAAGATCCTGTCTCAATAAACAAGCCAGGTGTGGTGATACACCCCTCTATTCCCAGCTGTGTGGAAGACCAGCCCCAGGCAGAAATGCAAAACCCTATCTTAAAAATACCTAAAGCAGCTAGGCCCTGGTGGCTTACGCCTATAATTCTAGCTACTCAGGAGGCAGAGATCAGGAGGATGGCAGTTCAAAGCCAGCCCGGGCAAATAGTTCATGAGACCCTATCTTGAAAAAACTCTTCACAAAAAAGGGTTGGTGAAGTGGCTCAAGGTGTAGATCCTGAGTTCAAGCCCCAGTATAGCAAAAGAAAAAAAAATCTTAAAGCAAAAGGACTGGGACCATGGCTCAAGTGGTAGAGCACTATCTAGCAAGCTGCAAGGTCCTGAGTTCAACCCCCAGTACCACCAAAAACAAAGAAGGAAAAGGAGCTCAGATGAAGCTCACCTGTGCCACTGTGTGACCCTTTGCTCCGCTGTCTTTGGCGCTTCAGCCTTGTGTCTTCAGAGCTTAGTTTAGTAGCTTGGACTGCCTTGGTTTTCCTGGTCTGTACACTGGGCGTGACATGACAGGGTCTAAACTTGCTATTTCTTGGGCATCAGAGTGATGCTTAAGTAGCCTTGGCAATGGGGAGATGGTGGTTTTGGTTTGAGTTTTTTGATGATGGAGTTAGAACCTGGTGCATGCCGAGCAAGTACCCTACCTCTGGGCCACACCCTCAGCTCCAGTAACACCTGTGGCTGGACCAGAAAGACCCTGGAGTCCCTGGCAAACCCAGTCCTTGAGTAGCCGGTGCAGGTGACACATGGGGTGCAAGCTTGTAAGAGACAAGTGGCCCGCCTGCCTAGTGGGCCTCATGCTTGGCCCTGCTCTGCCTTGTGTGGGGCCTTTTGTGCCCTCCAGGTCGCAGATGAGGCCCTCTGGATCTCTGCAGCCAGGATTCCCTGTATCCACAGAAGGCTCCCCAGCTGCGTCCTGGGAGGAAAGAGAAAGGCACTGTGATTGGAGGAGGGCTTTCACTGGGAAATGGCAAGATCAAACCAGTTTTTTTGTAGAAAATTCCTTTCCCTACATAGTCCTGGAGGTTTGGTTTAAATATGTATTATTAAACATTACTCAGTTAGGAATTGATGTAGGGTGTTTTGTGGTACCTTTTAGAGGTGCTGAGTGTGGACTTCAGAATTACCCCACCAGGTGAACACAGAAGGGGGTGGGCTTTTCCTCAGAGACTCTGCCCAGAAGTCACGCAAAGGCCCCATATGCCCTGTGTGCAGAGGAAGTCAGAACAGGCCAGTGCATTCCAGGCTCCTTTTGCTGGCAATGTGGAAAGCAGGTGTTTCCCTCTCAGAAAGATAGATCAGCCCAATGGGGTCTGGCAAGTGGGACACATTGCTGCAGGCTTCCACCCCTTCTCTGAAAAACAACATCCCTGTGGAAGGGGTCACTTGTACTTTCTTGTACTTTAGTGTCACTGATTACATTTGCTTTCATTCTACCCGTCTGCTGGCCCCTCCTGGCTCCTTTCCCTTTCCCCTTCCCCTGTGGTCCCTAATATGTGTAAGAAGTATGGATGGAGGAGAAGGTGGGGCCATGGGGACCAGAGCAGTCAGGATGCTGCCCAGGCTCTGCCAGGGACCCCTGAGAATTGCTTCAGGGAAGGGAAGGGGTCCCTTTTGGGGTCTCAGGCTGCTCTTGTCTGTTGTGTTAATCTTCTGAATGACTTTAAAGATAACATTCTCCTCTGTCAGCAGAGAAAGGTGACTGTGGGGACAGCAGTTCATTCCTGAGTGCTGTCCATGTGACTGATAAGGGACTTTCAGAGGGTGGGGCTGGTGTTCTGGGGTCATGACCACCTGCATAATCACATGGTGCCTGGAAGCAGGGTCTTCTCCTCCAGCAGTGGCAGGAAGTGTACTCAGGCCAGACCAGTGTACTCCCTACATTGTCACTGTGTGAGTAAGCTGAGGTGTAACTTTTCTGCCTCAGTTTACCCCTCAAAAGTTGTGTCCTCAGAGGCACTGTGGCCTCAGATTGTATTAGGAGATGGAGACCTGGCCAGCCTGGTGCCCACCTTCCTGTTAGCACTGCCCTGTCCACACGCCACTCCCAACCCCCACACCTTAGTTATCATCCAAGCAGCTGTGTCTGTCAGGAAGCCCAGCCCTTCAGATGAGGAAGCAGCTGAGGAACATTCATTGATGGCCCAGATGACACAACAGCCTGCAAGTGTCAGTGAAAATTTTGAACCCAGCAAGGGTTGTGTTACACAGAAAGGCCACCTCTGGGTGGAGTTCTGAGAGCTGAGGCCCAATGGCTCTTTGATCCTTTTGGATGGTTCCTATACTGGGCTGAGCTCTCTAAATGCAGAGGATGTCCTCTGCTACTGCCCCACCAAGGTTAGATGCCAACTCCAGAATGGACTGGGGCTTGCACAGCAATGCTGGCATCTCTTCCTCGTCCCTGTCCCCTGCCTCCAGCCGGAGAATACCGCTGGGCCATCTGTGGAGGGCACATGGAACCCTGACCCACACTGGCTGTTCCCTGACTTCTCACTTGTGTTTTGCCAACTGTCATGGTCTCCAGGCTCCATCCAAGTTGTCCTGATCCAATAGTAAGTTTGGGCCTACCCATCTGAGACTCCTGTCCATTCAGCTTAGAGTCCAGTGACCCAGAATGGGGCTGTGCCATGAGCTGCCCTCCTGTCCTTTGACTAGCTCCTGACCTGTCCACCACTGACTGCAGGCCGGTTTCACCAGGTGCTTTGCAGACCATAGGATGCTCCAAGGGGTTGCTCAAAGCCTGGGGCAAGGCCCAGTGCTGTGTCCCTCTTGGGTTCAGGGTGTCCACAGTGCAGATAATGCCAGAAGGGCAAGGTCACTATTGCAGGAGTTGAGGGGTCCCAAGAGTGCTGTCGCCCCACATCACCAGCCCAGGAACAACAAAGCGGCCTCTCTTGGGTCATCGAGATCAGTTGTAGGAGTTTATCCCACACCGGGCTCTTATCCTAGTTCCTGGTGTGTAGTTAAGTGTTCAACAAATGTCAGACAATTCATAATAAGGAGACTGAAAACTCCAGGGATTCCCAGACTTGGCTATTTTTCTGAGGATCATGAGGGCAGCCCCACCTCAGCTGGGGTTCCCCTTCAGATTCCAGAGCGCCCTGAGGGCTGCCCAGGCCCAGGTTCGCACATCCAGCCTCCCCAAGCCTTTGACCC